TTTTGCTTTTGGCTATTAAAGTGGTGTTATCTTCATATTTCAAAATTTGATTCCAGCTGTTGTCTCGTCCATATAATTGGAGGAGATGACAATTGGAATCAAAACTGGAGGTCAAAATAGTTTGAAGCTAAGGCAGATTCCCTTATTCTTTTGTTATGTTACCACCATGTTAGCTATCTGAACTTGTATTCCTCTCCCTTTTCTGAAAGCTGCCTACTTGTTTGGCATTTTTTCTCACTGTGCAGCTGTATTCTTCTTTGTAAGATCTTGAGGCAAAACATAGCTTGGGTGATAAACAAATATAGTGGTCCAGCGATGGTGCGTTTTCTTGCATCTCCCTTTGATTTAGAAATGTTCAGTTATCTTTTCCATTTTCCATTTTCTAGGCCTCATAGTCTTGTTCCATATTTGTGGACGCAGAACTGTTAGCACTTCAGCTATGTCTTTACCAACAGTTTTAAACTGTTCAGTTAGTATTTCATCTGTACCAGGCCCTTTCTATTTGACAGGTAGTCCATTGTCTCTTGTACCTTACTTTCTAGCAGAGTGGGTTCTGAATATTTTCTCCCCCTAACAAGGTTTCTGTCATTCCATTTATAAAGGGTTCAGTATAAGCTTTTCATCTTCTGTTATCCTCACTCACCTTTATCTGTTCTGTTCTATGATTACTCTTGAGTATTCCTACCTTAGCTGTAATTTTTTTCTGTGATTTTTCTGATTTTAAAAAGATCTCTCATTTTTCTTTCATATTTTATAATCCTCTGTTTACATTCTTGACTGAGAATTTTCTTGGCATTTCTTGTTTGATGTTAAAAATCTCTGTTCAGTCATCATTGGTCTTTCTTGTTGCTCAAGGCTTTAATCTTCTGATTTTTCCTAGATGACATGAAGCTTGTTCTGAAAGCCACTTGGAACTTCTCTGATATTTTAGCATTTGTTTCTACTTTGGTTTTCACAGTGTCTTTTATCTTTTGCGCCACTTCTTAGGTTTACTTTCACTTAGGTTTGGCATACTACATCAGTTCCTTGCACTGATCTTTTATTCTAATCAGGGCTAGAAAATCTGGGTTGTAAAAATCTTGACAACCAATAAATAAGAAGCAAAGAGTTAATTTTTTTAAGGTTGGATGGTGGTCATCTGGATTTCTGCAGCCTGGATCTGGTAGCTCTGTTCTGACAATATGTTCTCCAGGTCATATGTTGTTGGCACACTTAACTTTCTGTATTTTTTAAAGTTTAATCTGTATATTTGACATCAGTAATTCATGGTCTGTTCCACAATCACACCTGGACATTTCATGGCTGACTGGAACATTGTTTATGTTTTTTGAAGCAAGTGTTGGCAGTAAACAAATACTTTTCTTCAGAAAACTCTACAGGTCTTCTGCATTGTTGCATTTGCCTAATCCAAATCATTCTGTGATTCCAGGTTTTTCTGTTTCTCCAACTTTTGCATTCCTATTACCCATTAGCAGGACCACCCCTTTCTTAATGCTGAATTTAGCACCTTTTGGAAATTGCCATAGAAGTTGTCGATTTCTGCCCTCATTGCTTCTGTAGGAGCTCAGATATTGTCTGAGTTTGGGATGGAAGGCCAGCATTATTTATGGCTTTAAGAAATGACACAAAACCAAGAGTTTTGTACTCTTCTACTTTTTATGGAATGCTTTAAATTCTATAAAAATGTTCCATCAACATGAAGTCAGTGAAAACATACAGGTAGTCTTTGTTTAGCGACCACAATTGGGATTGGGAACTCAGCTGTTAAGCGAAGCAGTTGCTAAGTGAAACCACAACTGTGCTCATGATCTTACTTCAGCTTTTCTTTGCTTTACAGACTGCAAAGGTGGTAAATATGAAGACTGGTCATAAGGTTACTTTTTCATCACTATCGTAACTGAAAATGGTCACTAAACAAGACAGTTGTTAAATGAGGACGACCCATAGCTTAAGTGTCACTGCTAAAGACAGCAGTATTGGACACGCTATTGTATTTCTGCTCTTAGCACTGATTTTGGTGAAATTTGCTTTGAGTCCAGGTAGATTTGCTTAGACAGGTTGGCGCATCAGGCTAAGTTAATGAGACCTGATTTGCATGATATCTCAGCCATAGCATGATTAGGTAGAGTATCTTAATCACAATTTCTACCCATGTTTGCATGGCATCAGATGTCATCCAACCCCAGACAGAGAGAGGGATTATCTCTGCTATTTAACCTCTAGACATGGAGGTAGAAGCAGGACAAGGGTCGTGACTCTTTCATTTTTCATCCCCCTTGAGTACATAAAAGTCTCCTTCCCATTGAGCGAGATTCCTGGTGGTGAAATAAGATTAAGAGATGGAGAGAAGCACAGCCTTCTCCCATTCCATTCATAGTGGTTCCGATCTAGATTGGAATGCACCCATCAGTATGTCCAGTGTCACATTTAGCCTCTCATGTTGGAGGAGGATATATTTGTGAGGCAAATTGGGCTCCTGAGACACAGAGGTTCATAATCTGTCCTACCTCATCTCCGCTGCCACTGTGTCAAAAGATGGAAGATGTAGCTTACTAGTAGGCCACTGCAGAGACTTCAAATGCTGTTCATGTATTATTTAAATCCCCCCCTTCTATGGCCTGAACAATATAAAGGAGGCAAGCCTGAACTGATCTGATGAAATACCTCTGTTACAGAAGAAAATGACATGCTTGACTTTTCGTTTTATTTGTTTTCCAGAAACCAAACCATTTTCACCATGGCACTCCTGTAATCCAAATGATTTCGAGTGGGTTTAAATTCTGGCACTTCAGGAAATAAAAAGGCTTCCCTGCTATCTTTCACAAAAGGGGAAGGCATGAGTCAAAGTGCTTCCTATCAACATTTCCTGCACCTGCAGTTTAAGTTATATTATTTAAGGAGGTAAGATTCATTTCAGAAAAGAAAACACCCACAGCATCTGCCACTGGAGGATGAAATTTGGCTAATGCAAAGGGAGGGAAGAATTTTAGAAAACAGCGAGAGGCCTGAATTTGCTCAAAGTTGGAGAAAATCTCTCTTTAGAATCATGATTTAGGAAAATAATGGAGATGGAGTTCATAACATAATACAATATTGAGCTGCTCACAACAGGAAGCAACTAGGAGAGATGTGTCCACTTAAGGGACCTGCTTCAAAGTTTGCCCACTCTAAAAATTGGTCGCAGCGTATGTCATGTGTGATCCTAAATCCAAACCCTGCACTTCGTGATGCCTGCCTTTTAGTTGTGTCTCATTATGGCTTGGGTTTACAATGGGCTGGAATAATGCACTTACTTAGGAACATTTGAAAAAGTTTTGAATAAGCTAATATAATAAAGTAAACGTAATGAGACAAAATTGCAGTCTGCATGCTACACTTACTCGGGCATAAAATTAGGCAGTGAATATGCAAACTCACAATCGCTGGGTCATTCTGTGAGTGGGCATAGTTAATGGGGTATATGAGACTCAATTAGCTTCGTTTAACATGATGCCCAAATGTTCAACTGTGGCTTTGTCCACGCAGAAGAGGCCTGGAAATAGAGCCAAAAACAAACAAAATCCAAAATGTGGGTTTATTTCAGGCAGATGGAGTTTTTACACATCAGGATGTCAAACAAATAGATGGCTTGTTGGCTACATGTTCGCATGGCAGAAGTCTGTGATTGATCCACCACCAAGACTAGGTAAGTGCAGTGGTGCATTAGGATTGGACAGACTGAGGCACGCAGGGTCCCTCCTCATACTGTTGCAGTCGCTACACCCTTTTTTAAAACTTCTCATAAAATAGATGCATTGCTGTCAGCAAAAATCAAAATAGCTTCATCCACCATCTTCTTTTCACAGAGCACAGGAATTCAATGTGAATAAAATAGAAAGAGAGAAGGAGGTAGATGTTAGTGCAGCTACTTACCCACTGAAAAAAGACAGAAGTCCACATTATTTTATAAACGGGAGGAGCAAGCAGGTCAGTGCTGAGAAAGGAGGAGAGTGGTGATTATCTTTCTGAGAAGGCATCTTTCTCAGTGCCCAACCTACCATGGCTGCACCATGGAGCAAGAGTAACCTGTGAATGTGATGAACTGTATGCCTCTACTAGCAAACTATCCTTTTAATTTCCCATACTACCCTTGGTAGCATCATCAATAGGAAATCTTAGTGGTGGCTGGCTCACAGTCCCTTATTAGTGTCAATTTTGATAGTGGACCTAAACATGAATCTGTGTATGTGCTTTCTGTAAGGTTTACCCCGTTCAACTCAGGGAAACTCTCGTGACACGTGTGTTCAACTAAGAAGTTTACTCAAGCGTAACATACGTAATTACAGACAAAGCCAGGATTGGCTTGGCACATCTTACAGCACAACTTATAGTCCCCCTGTTCCTGCGCTTAGCTCCGTTGCTTGGTTACAAATTACCCGCAGCGATCCCCCCCTTCACCGAAATGGCAGATTGTCCAGTTCTTTTGTTTCTTGATTGCTTTACCCCGATGGCGTGGTTGTCTTCGTTGGGTCTTTCTGTTGTGCACAAAGCCGGGGGTTCTCAATCACGCGCTGATTGCTTTGCCCCGAGCCGTGCTCACTCCTTTATCTGCAGCGCTCAAGGCAATTTGGCGCTGGCACAAAGTATCCACTTTCGGTTTAGTAAAGCGGTCCCAGCTGGCCCATTAATCAGTTTGCGGTTTCTCACTTCCCCTTTTCCTTTGCTGGCGCTCAGGCGGTGAAACTGACTAAGTGCAGCTGGGCAAGTCCCTAGCCGTGCCGCGCCGGCTGAATCTGACACTCTCGAGTCAATGTTGACTACTGGCGACTGCCTGAACAAGTCCCTGCAATTTTCTTGGCAAGATTTCAGAAGTGGCTTGTCATTGCCTGCTTCCTCGGGCTGAGAGAGAGTGACTGGCCCAAGGTCACCCAGCTGGCTTTGGGCCTAAGGTGGGACTAGAACCCATGGTTTCTGGGTTTCTAGCCTAGTGCCTTAACCACTACCCCAAACTGGCTTGCATATCCATGAATCTACCTGGTTATTAAGATCCACTTCTGAGGCTTGGCTCCAGCTCCCTTTGCTGATGGAAGTATGGAAGATTGTTTTCTGATAGGGCAACACCAGGAGGATCATGCTGTTTTTTCAGTGGCAAATTAAAACTGTCCTGGTCCAAGAGAGAAATAGGGATTCTTCCACTGACTTGTATTTGTGTTACATTTTTGCTTGTTGCATTTTAATTACCTTGCATTTTGAATACCTGATTACTAAATTTGTAAGCCAGTGTGAGATAAGGTATAAATATTTCAAATATTTTTTTTCAAAACCTGTCTTTTGTTTAGACTTCTTTTTAGTTGTACGTTGTTTAGTTTGTCAATTCTTTTAGTTTAGATTAAGCTACTAAATTTTAAAATATTATTAATCATATATATGTATATATGGTAAATAATATTTTAAAATTTGAAATATATATGCATGCATGCCACCCATTCTTATATTATGGCTCCAGCTTGTATATGGCTGAAAGACCACTGGTAATTAAAAATAAAATTAACATAAGGTTCACTACCTGGTGATTAGTGATGACTCTTACTTGCTATATGCATTTTAATGAATGGCTGTTTGGACAATTGTTATAATGATCAGATATTCACCCATGACTCCCTTAAGGAAGTCTGTTAAGTTGTATTAACTAGTGTTTTTAAGGATGTTGGTTGAAAGACATTCTACCATAGAGAAGGAATCTCTCAACACGCTCCGACATGTAATCCACAATGACTAAAAGGTACTCTAAGACAGGAACTTGAGGCAAACATTCTTCCTCAAAAACCAACACTAACACAAGAGCACAAAGAATGAGTCTTGTTCTTAATGAAGTCCATTTTCAACTACAGAAAGGAGGTGTTCATTTCCATTTCAAGTGATCTCTTTTTTATCTGGTAGTTTTTATTTTGTTAAAAGATACCATTTATTCATCTCTTTCTTGGCCTGCCTTAAATTTAGCGTCTTTGAGAAAAGATAAAACTATTGGATATATATATTGAACAATTATCTGCTATAGGACAAGGTTCTGGTTCAAGTCTCTAATATCAAAAAGATATTAGAGAAATTCACAGAGGTATTAGTTGCTTATTAGCTATGATAGCTAAATGAAGACTTTCCCAACTAAACGTCCTCCAGATTTGTTGGACAAAAACTCTCACCATCTCAGCTGCCATACTGGCTAGAAATAGAACTGCAAGGATCAGCAACAATATTAGCTGTTGAAGGGTGGGGATTATCTCCATTCCTTGCTTATGAATCATTTTGCTGGCCATGATGAGAAATAAGATACCGAAATAGATGTCTTCTTAGTCTCATCTGGCAAGGGTTTTTAAAATATATATATATTATGATCTACCCACAGGAGATAAACAACTAGCAAAAACTTGGTAGGGTTGTTCTGAAGTCCCAGTGTTGTTTTCTAGGAACATGGTGGTGTCAGATACTTCCCCAGGTAAGCAATCTGACATGAGCAGCGGTTGTCCTATTACATGGCCACTATTGTTGTAGCAACAGAAGGAAGCCAAAAAACTATTTTAAAACATAGCTCTTAACAGACTGGAAATACAAAGTTCAAACATAGTGAGATGCTCACAGAAGAAGAGGGTAATAGAACAATCTTTGGAACACAAGACCACTGGAATTCTCTTGTTAAAATAGAGAAACTTCTGCTTAGTTCAGCAAGCTACTTCCAAAAGAAGCCAGCCAAATTACCTGTGGGTTCATAAAGGAGGGTATTCTCTTATTTGTACCCAGAACTTGTTATCCAGGTGGTGATTTTATGGCCCTCCAGATGTTGTTAGGCTTCAACTGCAATATGCCATAACTAGCATGGCCAAGGGCCATGGGAATTGTACTCCACCAACATCTCAAGTTTAGAAATCTAAAATCTGGTATACTGCTCTCCACAGGAATTTCATTCAGCTGCCAGCCACAGAGTCTACTTACAAATTTATATCTTCTTAAAAAGATCTAAATTAATGGCCTGCAGTATGTTGGGACATGGAAAGCTAATGATGTGTAAGAAATATTTCCCATTGCCCTTATGTTTGTTGCTTGTCCATTTCACTGAGTGAAGTTTGTAGAGTTAAGTGATGGGGTAGAAGAAAAAAAAAATCCCCATCTCATTTATACTTGCTGCTTTTACAAATCAAAGAGTCCCAAACTCTTTGGGTCTTGCTATCTAAATAAGCAATCTTATTTATTTTAAACCTTTTCACTCCATTTTTCAGCCAGAAAGTCTCCCAGAACAGTTTACAGATTAGCAACAAAATAAGACAGTCTGTAATTTTAGGATTACAGTCTAAAAGGCATGACATAAAAGGAATACAGGAAAAGAGAGAGAGAAAAAACCCAGTTCAGATACCCAATGTTTACAGTTGTTCTAAAGATGGAGAGAACCTGGAACTCCTGAGCACAGCATCCTGTGGCTACCTGGTCTCACCCAACTTAGTATATTTTAGGTGTTTAAATTAAAAAAAATGAAGGGCCAGGCTCATGTTTCTGGGTCCTACACAGGCCCACATACGTGCTTAGAAAGTAAAAAATGGTGGGTGTCTTCAACCCTATGCTTGCTTTGGAAATGTGGCCACCTGCTCATTAAAAAGACTAGTAGAGAAATAGTACTTATAGATGTTATAAATATTACAAACCTGCCTGCCTACCTAAAAAGTTGAACCAAAAATAATATAATAGTGATCTGCAAAATGCGTGAGAAATCTACTTTGCCTGCTATGATGGGACAGAATACCAAGACAACTGACAATGGTGTGAGGTTTATTAGGACCCAACAGGGATGAAACTGGATGTTCCCAAAAGGTAAGCATTAGGAAGCACCTCCTAGTTGCCTTTTACCATTTCCTACAATTACTGAAGCAAAATACAGAGATACAGTACCATAGGCTGCAAAAGTGTAGTAATTTCCCTAGGAGCAGGCAATCTTGATTTCACTGGGATTGATCTCTCAATGGATAAGTCTAGCATCACCCTTTAAGTTTCAATATCATACTGCCTAGGTCCTCAGTATGTCCACAGGTACCTCTTGGATTATAATTTTTCAAATACTGTCCTATCAGACATTGGCCATTTCTGCTTGTTGCTCAAGGTCCACATTCTCTTTTTAAGTAAACTCTTTACACCAAGAAGGTGATTATCATAACCTAACCTAATTAAGTCTTAAGGTATGCATTTATTATTTTTAAATAAAAGACTAGTACCTCAAAATAGACTAGAAATAAAAATAGAAAATAAAGATCTCATGAAATCATTCATCTTGTTCCAGAGGAATGCAAGGGGAGAGAGTAATGGCTAGAACATGTTCCTTGCTATGAGGGAGGTGGAGAAGAAGAGGAGCCAATCCTGCTGATGGCAGATTTTAATAGAATTCTTTGAAATGGTAAGAACAGCTCAAAATAAAGCAACAGCACAGCTCTGATTTAAAAGTGAGTTTTAGGCAGCTTTTCAACAAAACTTCTAGAATGTAGAGGCCTCAAACACCACATTTATTTAAGGAAATGGTATTCAGTATATTAGTGACTCATATAAATTATATCAGGTACCTTTCCAAAATGTATTTATTTTATTCTTTGTAAGGATTGTGGATACCACCCTTTATTATTCCAGGAGCCTCTTCATAAAGTATACCAACAAAAATAAAAAATACCGTACAGCACAAAATCAAGCTCTTCATTTCACACCACAAACTTCTGATGTTTCCTGAAAGGCTTGGAGAAACAACAGCGTAATCTTTTAGATTAGGGATATGTAAAAAAAAAATTCAAGATAGCGGCCTCCGAATATCAAAGCCTGGAAGGCATACTTCTGAAAATGGGCAGAGTGAAACAGAGGAGGTAGATCAAGACAGAACTCAAATTTAATTTAAATGTAAACTTAATTAAAATTAAAGTAATTAAGATAGCTTCTTACAGATTTAATGATTTCTGCCTTTTGTCTCATCAAAGTTACAGTTTGGTGACAACTTTTGGAGAAACTCTGACAACCACATTTAAAGAGGTACGTATGTCTGTCATCCTGAAACTTCAGGCTGTACACTTATGTTCTATATATCTACTCAGAGATAACTTCAATAGGACTTTCAAAAAATAACTATTGCAAGGGGCAGGGAGGAGGATGAGCTTCTATTATGCTGACATTTCTGAATCTGCCTGGATTTTTTAAAGCTCAGAATCATAATAGGGCCCCCCTGAATCATTGCTAGCCTGCTAAGTGGATTTGGAGGGGGGTGACCCTTGGATGTATGCATATGTGTTAATATTTATACCAAAAGTGTAATCTATATTAGATCATGAAATAGTCTACGCAGCCTTAAGCTAATAAAAAACAAAACTCAAACAGAAGAGAGTCAACGGCAAGCAATTTTAAAGTTTACAAGTGTGGATTATTTGACCTATTCTGATATTAGAGTTAATCCATTTTATAAGGTATAAAGTTAACTTTAACAAATGCTCTCGAAATGCATTTATATTTTGTTTGTTTGCAACTGTTGCAACTCTGCAACTTAATCTTAAATTTAAAACTTAAGTTGCAACTCTGCAACTTAATCTTGATACATCAAAGTGTGATCCTTTTAATCCCAAATAGCATCTTGACTGTTTTATTGAAACCTTTCCACCTCTTCCAACTCCTATAATGAAATCAACATCTCTGTTCAAATCTGAGTTAGTTTTCCTTTGATTTTGCAAATGAAGTTCCTGCTGATTTCAATCTCATCTTTACTGTAATGTAAATAAAAGTTAAACGTGAGGATGCCCAGCCTAAGATTAGGGGGCAGTGATGTAATCTCTTATCTGCTTCTATTCTTATGCATCAAGGGGCAGAATAAAAGAACAGACTATTAAGAGTATATCTTAATATAGAGTATATCTTGGAGCAGATATCTTGTTATGTAAGGTAAAGATTAAAACAATTCCAACGTTTTAATAAATCTGAATATGAAGTGCCAGGATTCTGTATGTAAAATGGTAAAACACGCAAATCCATAAAAAGCATAAAAAGAGAAAAATACGGGCAAAATCAATTCATCATTCATTGCTTCTTTTTTTCAGAATGAGGGATTACTTTCTTCCCAATTTATGACTGCTTTCATTTTGTTTGGAAATATTTTTATATAATCCAGTGCGTTTACCTTCTTCAGCTAAACACATCTTTTAAACCTAAGTAGCTGAGCTAAGCCAAATGCAAGTAACGAGATGTCCTCTAGATGATTTTGACTACAGTTCCCAGAATTCTGGACCACAGATCATCATGATTGGGGCTGGAGGACATTTGTATTCTGAAACATCTGGAGGGCTGCCCCTAGGATTAGGCTTCTGTGCTGAAGCCTGTCCCATTTTAGTTACTCTAAACATCTACTCTCATCAGCCATCCATAGTCAACATGATGGAGAAGGCTGTCTTGGTGTTCCATTGCCTCTTCTGCTGTCTTAGTCCCAAAGAATTACAAAGCAGAAGATATGTGCAAGCATTCATTTGTTCATAAACCTCATAAACATATGCTCATAGCACCTAACAATATAGATAACATATATACAGTATGTATTTTAACTTGTTTTTAATGTTGTTGGCCTTTAAAGCATATTACACCGATGTGCAACCAACTCAAAAGTCTTAGCTTGAATCACCTTGATTCGAGGTGCACCTTTTTATGTTTCTCCCATAAAGTGCCTTAGAATAAAATATCTACAGAATCATCTCCCTCTCCTTTCTCCTCTCCTCAGTATAAGCCTTGCATGACATCTCCACTGCAAATCCAAAAAAGGATTGGTAGATACAGTACCTAGAACAAGGTTTTTATGGTTTGGCAGCAGGGAATTGAATGGCTTCCCAAAAGAGGTAAAAAAAAGAGCTACTTATTTATGCACCACCCCAGAAGAGAAATCTCATCACTGCTGAACTGTGGATGGTTGGTTGGGTACTTTCCCTAGTGAACATTTAGAAAATCATTAGTTCCGCAGGCAGTGTAAATTTTGCCTGATTCAAATGTATTGTGTTATGTACTCTGCCTGCCTGCTTTTATCAAACAGCCATCTCCTTTCCATCCAGTCTGTCTTGTTTTTGCTTTTCTTTTAAATTCTGTATTGGCGTCAGCTGCTGTCAGCCATCCTTAGTGGTGGTATATATGTGCTGGAAAGGTGGGTTTATAAATGCTTATAATAAATAAATAAGTAATATATCACAGCACATACACATGCACACATACTGTATATGAATCACACTCATTTATACAGAAAGAGATTGATGCAAGTTACTCCATACCCCAGCATATTTCATACTATGGGTGCATGAATGCTTCTCAGAGACCTCAGTGCCCACTTGGTCTGCAGTCTAGGTCTCAATCCCTGATGGGCAATGTCAAGGCATCTGTTCCCTCTTTTAGGGTTCTTTTCCTTCAAACTGGATTTGGGGCCGTCCCCTGAAAAATAGAAGATTTTAAGACTAAATAACCATATATAATATTTTATTCATAAACCTTGAGTAGAAACATGAACATGGTTCCACAGTTTCTGTTGCCCACTTACTTTTACCTCAAATATAACAAAAGAATAGTTAGGGACTTCCACGGGGGAGGGGGTTAAAAGGGGGGTTAAAATGGGAGCTGCAATCACACAGTTGAAGTTCCGCCCCTTTTTTATGTGTGTCACAGATCCGTCTTGACTTGTTTGTCCCTCCCCCACCTGCCCCGTTTATACCCCAACAGTGGCATTTTATCCTTGAGAAAATAATGCCACATCAGATGAATACTACCTCAAGGATTGTAGGACAGGTGAATCAATAGAGTTTGGGAAGGAATTCTTCCCAGCTTTGTTAAATACCAAGGCCTGTTGAATCTTTAGTAGTACATACCTAATGATTGCATAATGCTTCAAATAATTGTTTAACTTCTAGAGGCATTTTTGTGTCTCATTCTACTTTGCCAATTTTCCTCGCCTTTCATTATGCATACTTGAACAGTGCATGTTGTATCATGATGCCTCACAAGTGTTTTGTTCCATTTTTGCTTGTTCTTTTCCAGATGCACTTAAAATCACCTTCTTAAGATAAGCAAGATATCACAGAAGGGAAACTCGGGAAGAAGATGAGAACTTCCTTGTTGCTCTTCCTACTGACATGCATAAGAACTGAAGTCAGAAAGCTGAAATATTTCTCTGGACTTAACAGATCCAGTCAATAATTTGTGAGGAAAGAACATCACCTCTTTCACATTGTTGAAAATTCTCACACTGTTGGATGTTGGATTATTTATGTACTACGCTGTAGCTAGAAGGATTCCCAAAGAGGTTTAATCAACAGCAATCAAAAGAGACAACTCCTGCCATTGGATTTAAAATCCAAAATGACAGAAAGCTAAACCATGGTTTACTTTAACTGTGATTTTATGCCACAGTAGTGGGTTCACATATCATACTGAGCTTTAAACCATGGTTTTAAAACCACAACACAGTAAAAAAAAACAAAACCCACATTATCACTTCAATGTTGTATGAATCAACCCCCCCCCCAAAAGGCGGGGGGGGAGGGAGGGAGGAAGGGGGAAGGAAGAAAACTGTAGGTGCCGATTCTTAATGTTATATAGATCCTATAACAATGAGATGTAATCCAGATATAATAGTTGCAAGGTAAGAGTTGCCTGGAATGATAGTCTGGAAATTGCTGGTTTTATTTTCCAGACTGCCTGGAATGGAAACAGCTCAATGAGAAGCATAAACCACAATTGCCAGTCTCTTAGCTGAGTTAATGCTGTGGTCCTGCTTCTATCTCTCCCGTTGCTGCAGCATGGTGGAATGGCTGCTGGATAGCCAGTGGTGAAAAGACCAATCCCAATGGTCATGATGGCCCTGCTTTTCTTTGGTCCCTCTGCCACAACTTGGTGGCTTCTGTTCAGGTTGCTCTGCTAGGCTACCAGTGTCATTTTTTATCTATGCTGAGTGCGTGCTAGGTTGTATCTGGGAATTTTGTGTGTAGCTTAAGATTTTATATCCAATTTTTCATTGCGAATGACTGCATGGTCTAGCATACTACCATCTTTAGAAGAGCTCTGGGTAACTAAATTGATACTGTCTTTTAATTAAAAAAAATCTGTTTTTGGAGTTTGTACATTTTATAATGGTTGACTTTTATAAAATATTTTAATGAAGTTTTACTACTGTAAATCTCTTTCAGGATCTTTGTCACCCCAAAATAGCTTGCAGTTTGGTCAGGAAGGAAGGAAGGCAGACAGGCAGACTGCAAAAGGGGGCAGGAAATGAAACAGACACCATGACATCATAATATAAACCCTCTGATCTATGTCCATGCGTCCAACATCAAGATGCACATTTAAAAGGACTAGGTTTGGATTGTGATGTCACAATGCATGTTTCACCATTATTTCATCATCTGATCTGAAGTAGACATTGTAAGACAGGCCTGATTACTCTCTGGACAAAGAGGGCTAGATTAAAAGAAAGTTACACCAAATATGTTGGTATTTTCATGGAGAAAGGGTAGAAATAGGCACCTGTGGGATAGTTTATATTGCTGATGAAAATTGTATAAGTTCTGGTAATCATCAACATGATTTCAGATTTTATAACTGTGTGGAAAGTTGACAGTTCAAACAATGGAAATACTGAAAGAGAATCTCATATGAGTCAAGGACAACTGATTGCCCAATCCATAAGCAAATAGATCTCTAAGCTTATTACTAAGCTAATGGAGAGGTAAAAGTTATTATGTTCAAGTACACACACGTCATGCAAAATAGCCACAAGCTCACACAGACCTTATGTGTTATCTCAGCTCAAACAGCAACAATACAATTAACTGAGAATTATAAGTCTAATCATAACCAGAGGAACCATTTTATTTCACTTAGCAGGATGTATGGGAATCACCAAATAAGCTAAGGTTACAATCCTCCACACATTTGCTGAGAGCATGCCCAGCTGAAACTTAATACCTGCTTCTGCATGCATATAAATGATACCGAAATCTACCTTATCACCTATTTCTGAGGCATCAGGACCCAAGAGCACAGTTATAAATTGAAAGGCTCATGCAACCTATGCACATTTGACTTATTTCTACTTAAGAATCTATACTGTTATGGCTTTAGGTTTCCAGGAAGTTCTTTCTTACTCCCTAATAAGACCTTAGGTATCACCATGATAGGAGAGAACAGTGGAAGGAGAATAATACACTATCCTAATGGGATAATGTGTGAACTCTGGACAGCCAAGAGAATCAAACTGTAGATGATACTGAAAGCTATAAAGAAGCTGAGAATTCTTGGTGTGGATTTCACCTAGTGTTACCAGTCCATTCTGTTGCCTGTTCCTTGAGTCATGTAAGATCTGAATATGTATGCTTCCTTGTACCATAAAACTGCATGATATCTTCCTGCATTAATGCCAGGGCTTTACAGACAGATCCTGCTCTCTTTCAGTCCGTAAGTGGGCCATCAAACTGAAATGATTTGATTTCATCAAAATATATGTCAAAATATTAGTCTTTATATCATGCACTGAAAGCAAAAGTGCTTTGCTTAGGCTGTTTATATAAACTCTTTTCCTGGAAATATTTAAATATATAGATCCTTTACAGTTGGAAGGAGAGAAAATCCATATATTATTATGGGTTGGATTCTTACTTTGTCATGCTTAGAGCAGACTGACTAAAATCAATGGAACGTAGCTGATGTATTCATTCTGTTTTATCAAGTCTAAGCTATATCTAGTGAAAATGTACTACTGTGAGAGTACTGTATTGTATTTATACCATTTTAATCAAAATGCTTGGCATTTATTCTTTTGAATTTTTAAAATTCTTCACAACAATTACCATTCTAGCAATTTGATCATATAGTATGTCAATAGCATTATTCCAATATTATAGGGTGCACAGCTGTGGCGTGATAGATTAATAAATGTAAAGGAAAAGATGTTCTTTTCCTAATGTCTATGTAGTTTTCTTGGCAACAGTTTGGAAGTGGTTGGCGATGACCTTCTTTATCTTCCCAATCTAGCCTATAACCCTGAGATTTCCTGGTTTTCTGCCTGCCATCCAAAGGCTACAGTAAGTGTAGGACTAAGGACTACTAAGATCAATTAATGTTGCTACTGACTGAGTACTAGATTACTGCCTACATTTAAATTAATTGTGACCTAACTTCAATTATCTCCTTGTGATATTTTAGTTGTATATGCACACCATCTTAATCAGGACAGTGGAAGCAAAGGCAAGACCAAAAATATTTGTTTGCCTAACTGGAAGTTTCTGTTCACCTTGTTGAGTTGGTTTGAGTTTGTAGGATGCTGTGGATCAAGAAATAACTCTTTGAGTTTCACTTTGTTGGATGAATTAACACTACAAGAATTTATTTCAGCTTTCTAAATCCATTGATTGACTGACCTTCAGTTGCAGGAAGATTATACCTTCTCTAAACAATTATCCTAGGACAGAGTAATCATGAGAAGTTTCTATGGCCTGTGTTCTTAGTGATGTGAATTGGATTTTAATGTTACAAAATATAATTGTTTAACCTGCTGACCATTAAAGGATTAAGCTTCCTTTAACTCTTTGAATTTAATTTTTTAAAATTCCTTAGTGAATATTCCACCATGGCTAGAAAGAATGGGATTATCTTGACAATTACTCAGATCCAATAAGGATGAAATGAGAATATTTTAGACATTAAACGTGTTGCCAAAAATTTTCCATTAGTCAATCTTTCTAGATATTGTACATAAGTTCTCCTTAACTTAGTGTGTTTTTCTTCAGGATAATTTAGTTGCTACTGTCAGGAGCAACTATTCATTCAACTATGATGCAATTATGCTTTTCTAGACTCTTCTTTTGACCACATGTTACTTATCCAAAGAACAAAGAGTAGCTCTTGCTAGTTCTGCACATTAGGGTCCCAGTCAACCCCCAGAAGATACCAATAGTGGCAACTGGAAGCCTGTGCAGCATCAGAACTCAGTATCAGCAGGCGAAGGCAAAACCCCACAGAACATCCTCAAAAGAAGGAAGGGATCCCTACTCTTTGGCTAGGTGGAGCAGAAAGAAATAGCAGAGAAGCCAATGTGGGCACGTTAAGATGGGGAAAATGGGCAGGGAAGGGTCGTCTCAGAAGGCACTTTGCCCAGGCAGGCATAAAAGTGGCAATGCTCCTGTTTTGTTTTTGTTTTTAAATAACTCCATTCTCTTACTTTCCTTATTGGGAACATGAAGAAAACCAGGTAATATGAATTATCCTTTTCTGTGTTATGTCTCTACCATAAAGCTGAAATCTAGTTTATACCTACTATTTATATCTAACCATTTATACCTAACCATTCCATTATTCCATAATCAGTGGTATGCATAATTTAACACTGTAAGACTGTGAAGAACTAGTCAAGTTATGTGAGGGTCATTGAATGGAAGATTATATTCTAGCTCATTAAGTTTGTGTGTTTTGATCTTTGTATTTCTGCTTTGAGCCAGTATTTCATACAACTGCTTTGATTTGATTGTAGGACCTAGTGAACCCGTTTTTCAGTAAACTGGTGCATTTGTCTTTCAAAGAGAAGATAATGCAAACACAAATGATCTTCCTGTTCTGATGTGCCAACATAGTGAAAAATGTGTGTTCTCCAACTTGTTCCTGAGAGTCACCCAACGTGCCTGGCAACTTTCTATGTGAACTCAGTACAAACCCTCTAGACAAGTTCCAGAATCTCTGTAATTGTATAGATCAGTGTTGTCCAAACTTGGCCACTTTAAGATGAGTGGACTTCAACTCCCAGAATTCCCCAGCACTGGTATAGATGTTTTGTCTTTAAGCTGGATTTGGACTGAACAACCCTTCAAAAGGGCATTCTTTTACAAAAGGCTGTTAAGTAGGATGCATGGCTAGACAACTTTCCACAAAGGTTGGGCTGTCAAAGTTAAATTAATTTCTACTATAAAAGACCCATAAGAAAGGTTAGCAAAGGCCTTGCATCTTCACCTCAATAGTTAGCACTTGTCTAACTATTGCTGCTGCAATAGTCTGAGTAGGCACCATTCATTTTCCCTACAATGGCAAATTGTATTCTATTTCTGTTAAACTTACACAAATTGTTCTCCAGTGAGTACCTGTACATCCATACATCTTGTGCTGTGTCTCTTTTTTGTTCAGTAATATGTAGGAGGCCCCCTAGCAGAAATAATTTCTCAAAGGCAGAACATTCAAAAGATATCTCTGTTCCTCAAAAATAATCTGCCGACGTTAGGTTGCCCAAACCTTACCAGCGGGTCTTCCCCTCCACACAATATGGCAAAGAAACCCCATGGCCAAAGCTAGGCTTTCTATCAGCCACTCTTGAGTGATCTGCTTCCTTTGGAGTGACACGGTACAGCAGCATTCCCAAGCCTGCCAGTCCTCAGAAGTGTTGGACTCATTTTCCAACAGCCTGGGACACACAGAAGTGACGTCTAACACATCTAGAGGGCACCAGGCTGGTAGATAGTGGGTCATGACTGGGCTGCTTTCCAGTAATTTAACTGATACGTTTCTGCTCAGTTTTAACAACATGCACTAACTAACAACCGTGCATATTCCAAATGAGTAACTGCAGAAGTGATACAGGGTTGTCTAATTTTATTTTATTTATTTTATATTTTGTTAGCCCTAGGAACTACCAGTATGCTCCCTTTATCATTGGCAAATTGTTCCTTGTATAGTGCCTGTGTGAATGGTAACTAAGGAAGAACTAAATGGTAACTAACCAACCCTGGGGGTGGCTAGCACCTTGAAGATGCTCCTATATGTTAACATCTTACTGATCACCAGCATCTTGGAAGATATCATTTGTATATGTGTTTGGTTTTATTGTATTTTTACTGTATTTTTATACTGTTTTTATTGTATTTTAATTAATATTTATTTGTTGTTTTATTGTGTGGTTTTATTGTATTTTTACTGTATTTTTATACTGTTTTTATTGTATTTTAATTAATATTTATTTGTTGTTTTATTGTGTACTGCCCAGAGTCACTTCTTCATGAGATGGGCGATAACTAAATTCGAAATAGGACGGAAGGAAGGAAGGAAGGAAGGAAGGAAGGAAGGAAGGAAGGAAGGAAGGAAGGA